CAAACCGATTATTATTTACACCCCTAGTGGCCTGCCTTCCCACTGCACCAGAAAGGTTGTTAGAAATCCCCGCCTCACCTGTCTACCCCCGTGGCATCGCCATGCAGAGCCGTGTGCCACTGGACAGGAAGGAACTCCACCCGGCTGATGGCGTGTTCGTCCAGCGACTTCTTAAAGTGACTGTGCAGCAGCTTCAGGGACACGCTCCGGAAGTCATCCACTGAAAGCAGAGGATTAGGTATAAAGAACAGAAAGAACGACAAAGAGGAGAGAAGAGCTGGCTGGATAAAAAAATGCCGCTCACCGCACTCGATCATGCTCCTGAACCTCAGGTCGCAAACAGGGCCGATGCCGTGGACCATAAACACCAGATGATCCACTGTGGGAAGCTCACCTGGACCATTCACACAGCAGAAAGGAGAACTTAAAAACAAGCTTCATCCCACCTCCTGTTCCTGCTCTGCTTATTCAACCCAACTGATTACGTAAAAAACACGAGGAGCAAAGTACCATCAGGCACTTCATCGTGGTCATCATCAATCCCTCTCTTCACCACCCGCGGCCTCGTCTGCCCGTCCTGAGTGGTGCCCCACTCGTCTGGAATGGAGGAGGGCTGAAACTGCACTATGACCTGCAGGAGCAACGTTTCCATCAAAACCACTGATCCAAACCATCTCATCCTCTAACTTATTTCTAATCGCCCGCCTACCTTTGGATTGTGCATCACGATCGTCTCTCCGGATGGAAACTCCAGTCTCCGATGCCACTGGTTAGTAGATACAGCTTTTTTATATTCTGCCTGAAAGTGTAACAAATATGAAACAGGATTTAACATCAAGTCACAGTTAAATCGGAGTCTAGATAAGTCATTTTTTCTTAAAATAAGTGCATTTATTCTTGGATTGAGGAGGTAAAAGAGACTTTTTGCCAATGGAACAAGACAATTTACACTTAAAATAAGAAAACACAATTGCATTGTCTTATTTCAAGTGCATATTATCTAATTATCTTATTTTAAGAGTAAAAATACTCATTCCATTGGCAAAGTATCTCATTTAGCTACTCAAATTAAGGTTAAATATACTTAATTTAAGAAATTTTTACTTATTTCTAGATTGTTTTTCCAGTGATTGAAGTTTCCCAACATTTGTTATAAGCAGGAATTACAAGATAATCTCTTATCTGTTCATCTAAGCTGCTCTTTTAAGGTTATAATCGGATTATTTGGTTGCGGCCATACAAATTGTGTTTTTGGATTTATTCTCTACTATCAGGAGTATCTTTAAAGCATGGTGGTGGTAGCATCATGCTGTGTGGTACATTAGCAGAGTATAAAATGAGGATTACCTGGAAATAATTAATCACCTCAGACTATAGGCTTTGGATAATCCAGCAGGACAATGAATCCAGATAAAGACACAAACTGGTTTTTAGAAACGATAAACCAGATTAACATCAGGCTTCTGGATAAACCGTCCCAGATTCCCAACCAGCTGATATTTGTGGATTATTTTTTTAAGTAAAGATAAATTCACATTTGTCAGTCGATATTCATTAGCGCATTCAGCAGCCATGCCTTGAGATCATCTGAAGCTCATGCGTTGCCGCATCAGCCATTTGCTTTCATTGTTAATATTTGTTAGATGTGTTAATAAATGTTTATTTTATTGTTTATATTGAGACTTGTGTAACATTTCTGCCATTTCTATCATGTAAACGGGAGATGTGCGGAAGCCTATTGCATTCACAGAGAAAAAAAGTAAAGAAATTGTTCTTTTTTTTCCTGATTTAAGAAGATATTTTTTACAAAATAAATAAAAAATTTGTTTTTCTGAATTGGAAAAGGATGCTGCTGAGATTCTATAGTGAATGATCTGTTCCTGGTAGCATTGCAGATTTCTAAGCAAGAGACGTCTTTCCAACAGAGAAGTCTATTTGTTGAGTTTTATTCATTTTTATTTTCTTTTGGGATTAAAACACAGAGAAATTCTTGTGTTTTTTAGTTATATAGAGGAGATTACTATTAGTTTTTTCAACTTTGCGAAAACACCTGCGTGCTGCTCATGGCACAGTAGTTTCCCCTCCTCCTTTTCTCATTCACAGTTTATCTCGTAAATTCAGAAAATTAAATGTTTTTATTCGTTTTTGTAAAAATAATCCCACTTATCCAGAAAAACAGACCAATTCCTTTCTTCTTTCAGATAAATGCAACACGCTTCCATAGAGAAGGAACAATGCTGGTTTAAAAAAAACAAATCCTTCCTCCTAAACCAACTGGCAGCACATATGAGGGATTGCTTGACCTGATGTTTAAATAATCGGCCTTAAAGCATCTGCATCAAGTTCAAACTGAAACCATTTTTTCCTGCGAACCAGAAGAGTTCATCCCTTATCGACGGCTGAGCTGCAGCTTCGCTAATGCACATGTAACATCCAAAACTGCATGTTTGATTTAGAAAGCAACTCTAAACTCAGACATGTTCGCCCAGTTTCTGCTTCCTGTTGTTTTCACGTTTGCGGATCAATCACCAGGCGCCGGCGTCTCTCTACCAACCTCCAGTTTTTCACTAAACTCCTCCGAATACGGAACGAAGCGACTGTCCTTGTCGCCCTTATAGAACCAGGTGCAGCGCCGGACCTCTGTGGGCTCCTCCTCCCAGTAGACTGCGGTGCGGATGCGGTCATAAAGGTGCACATCGTAACGCCCCCCGTCTGTGCGTACCACCACATTTTCTGGGTCAGGTTGAACTGGAAGAACAGGAGGTTTTTTAAGTCTGGGAGACTCTGCTCTCTGTGCCTAAAACATTCAGATATTTCGCTTCTGTACCTGAGTTGTACGTCTCCTCGAGCTGAAGCGAGTCAATAATGCTCAGAGGAAACCAGACGCTCTTTGACTCCACCTGCTTGCAGTAGAACCAGTGAGGCTGAACTTGTTCGTAGATGTTGTAGTTGTACTGCATCATTGGACCTGCAGGAACCACAGCTCCGGCGGTGGAGGCCGGAGCCCCTTGAAAATGAGTGGGAGGAGGCTGAAAAAGGAATAATAAGACAATTAAAATCTCGGAATAAAATTTCT